TATTTTTTATTAATATAATTATATTATAGGTAATAGTTACTAGTTATATTTTCTTTAGATTTATACATCAAGCAGTTACATGCTTTAAAATAATAAAAATTATATTAAAGGGTGCTTAATGCTAATAGTAGTATGTAAAGTTTGATGCTTACTCTATGTTTTTTTCTATTGAATCTATTAACTACAGACACAATGTAAACTTTAAATAATTACATTTATTTAGATATTATAGAACGCATGTCTTTAAAACACGCAGTGGTGTCGATTCTGGCATGACTCTCTAAAGTTCGAACTAAATATAACATCTCTCCTTTTTGCGGTGTATAGAGAACGACAAGGATACGCTGATGTCAAATTTTTATTAAAGGTTTAAAGAATCATGCCAGAATCGACGCCACTACCCTAATGGACTAGCTACTAAAATAAACAAAAAAATATCTATAATATTTATTTTGTTAAAGCATGTAACTGCTTGATGTTTAAATCTAAAGAAACTCGAACCCGCATCCTTCGCAATCCGGGCGAATGCACTGACCAATTATGCTACCGCGGCCCTCACGGACCGCGGACCTTGCAGCTTAAGAATGGCTAGAAGAATTTCGACTCGGTCCGTGAGGGCTGCGGTAGCATAATTGGTCAGTGCATTCGCCCGGATTGCGAAGGATGCGGGTTCGAGTTTCTTTAGATTTAAACATCAAGCAGTTACATGCTTTAACAAAATAAATATTATAGATATTTTTTTGTTTATTTTAGTAGCTAGTCCATTAGGGTAGTGGTTCGAGTCTCGTCTGCTGCCTGGTCCGCGTGGAATTTTTTCTAGTTATATTTTCTTTAGATTTAAACATCAAGCAGTTACATGCTTTAAAAATAAAATGATGTGGTGTCGTGGGACACCAGGTAGGAACGAAGTTCCTTTGGCTAATGTAGAATCGACACAAATTATTAACGAAGTAATGAGTATTCGAAATACCAGGATCGCATAAGCTCACACTAGGTATACATTATCAGTCCTACGGAATTCGGCCGCGGTGCGCCCGTGTCGCAACCAGCTGCGTAGCCTAGGTGAATGAGCGGACGTTCGAACTTCGAAGTGTATTCGATTTTTAAATAGGTTTTCGAAAAAGTTTCTAACAAAATAAAAATTCCACGCATGGACACACCATCATATCATCATAATCATAGCACATCATACACGGTACGATTCATACTATTATTACAACGCCTTTAAGATTATGTTGTCCTGGTACTAAGCCTTATAAATATAATCGATAATCCACTACATTATTCGCTGTGAGCTGGAAACCTGCCTGGTCGTCTCCCTCGCTCTAGAAAGACCTCACAACCACCACCATATGATTTTGATATACTGGTACTAAACCTGCAAGTATAGACTACTGAATAGCGAACATCGTACTCCGTCACCTACAACTTACTCTTGTACCACCTTTATGGTTATGATATCCTGGTACTTAATCTTCAAGTGTGTATTGAATAACAACATCGTATTTCCTCAATAAATTGCAAATAATTTTGTTGTTGTATCTCAACGAGTTATATAGTCCTGGTAATAATGCCACTAAAACGCAGCACACCACGTCTCATTTAACGGTTTTATTCCACGCATTTTTTCTTACGGTTTTACTATCACATTTTTTTCAGTTCGGTCGCGCAGCAAAATCCCTATCGCCTCCAAGCCTGCCGTAAGGAACTTTCGACCTCACAACCACCACCATATGATTTTGATATCCTGGTACTAAACCTGCAAGTATAGACTACTGAATAGCGAACATCGTACTCCGTCACCTACAACTTACTCTTGTACCACCTTTATGGTTATGATATCCTGGTACTTAATATTCAAGTCTCATTTAACGGTTTTATTCCACGCATTTTTTCTTACGGTTTTACTATCACATTTTTTTCAGTTCGGCCGCGCAGCAAAATCCCTATCCTCCAAGCCTGCCATAAGGAACTTTCGTTCCAATAATATAAATTAAAGGATATTGTCAGTCTTTTTACACATGCAGCCTGTGGGTGGACTATACGCAGAGGTCATACAGCGACTTGCGTGTGCAGTACCACAATGCATTCAGGGTGCTGATGGGGCAGGGTCCCCGCAATACCCCGGGAGACCCCTGCCGTGGAGCCCCGGCTAGGCCGCGAGGCTGCTGGGTGCGGAGACGCGGAAGAATCCTTAAACGGGGATCCCGCGGTTTCGCGCTAAGCTATTCGCAGGGTTTTTTAGGGGATATTATGCTGTAAAGTTACGGGGTCCTCAGTGGGCAGCCACTGTGGGGGCTCGTAAGGTTTGCGGCAGCCATGTGTGAGGTCCGTTCGGCGGTGTGCCTCTTAAAGACGCCGTCGTCTGTAAACAGAGTTTTTGCCTGCGTCACAAAAAAAAAGGGTGCTGATGGGGCTGCCGTGCTTTTGTAGTGCCTCAGGCATGTTTGCAGAGTCCCAGATAGATAGATTTCACGCGATTATGAGAAAAAGGTGTGCATCTATGCTGGGGCGACTGCACGCCAGCTCCAACGGCATCCTGAAAACATTGTCGGCACGCTGGGACAGTCCAATGTTGAAGCGCTGGGTGCACCTACATACTTTACATCCATGAATAATGTCGTACCTATTAATTGTTAATTGAATTTAATTGACATGTACAATAGATTATAATTGTGAATATAATTAATATGGCGGATAATATGGTAATGAATGATTAATTAATATACTAATACATTGTAACTAACTTGTACTAATAACTTTGGATTGTATTTCTATTATAATTATCTGAAATAAATGATTATTATTATTATACTCTCATCATTTATTTCATTTCACAAGTTAGGTTTTTTATAAAATAGATATATAAGTAAAATACAAAAACGTAAATACAAAAATAAATATAGTATAAAAAACCTAACCTAGAATACCACCAGCAGCGGAGCTAGGCCCAAGCTACCGGTGGTTAGGGCCGCAGAGAAAGAAACCGCCTGACGATGCGCGCCGCGTCCAGGAGTACTGCCTTTTGCATCTGCCCCTTGACCCAACCATCTAGCGAGAGGCTCTTTAGATGTTGGTCGAGACTCTTCGCTATGAGACCGTTTACGCTAACGACTATAGGGACAATGACCGTCGAATCCACATCCCACAAAGCGGTTACCTCGTGGGCCAAGTCCAGGTACTTGCTGAATGCGGGATGGTGATATCGATGAGCACTATTATTATTATTATTAAATTGTCTGAAAACGATAATGCTAAATGTATTACATGCACCGTGTCGCTCGAGTGTGGTAAGCCTTAGAAACCGAAAAAAAGCCGTTCACCACTCATTTTCATAATAATTTAACGGCTACGCGTTCGTCCCTGTAGCTTTGTCGTTGATTAATTGTTTTACTCTAATCATAATTAATAACCAATGAAACGAGGCAGAGGAACTCGATGGCGCAGCTGGTTAGTGTTTTCAGCTGCGATCGTTGAAGTTAAGCAACTTTCGCAGTGGTCGGTCATTGGATGGGTGACCAAAAATTTACCATTTCGGTCTCCTCCGTGCTTCGGAAGGCACGTTAATCCGTTGGGTCCGGCTTCATCTGCAGTCGTCAGCACCCACCAATCCGCACTGGGCCCGCGTGCTGGGTCTTGGCCCAATCTTCCTATTCCATCCATAGAGAAGGCCTATGCCCCAACACTGGGATCATTAATTGACTGTTGACGATAATGATACTCAGAGAGGAGGAGCTCGATGGCACAAGTGGTAAGCGCGTTCGGCTGCGATCGTTGAAGTTAAACAACTTTCGCAGTGGTCGGTCATTGGATGGGTGACCAAACATTTACTATCGCTAGCTCCTCCATGCTTCGGAAGGCGCGTTAAGCCGTTGGTCCCACCTGCATATGCTGTCGTCAGAACCCACCAACCCGCACTGGGCCCGCGTGCTGGGTCTAGACCCAATCTCCCTATTCCATCCATAGGGAAGGCCTATGCCCCAGCAGTGGGGACATTAATTGGCTGATGATGAAGACGATAATTATACACGTTATACCGACCCGGGTAATTGTAATTTATAACTAATGAAATGAAAAGTCAGGCTTTCAGTCTAGGCTGTTACAAGCACTTGTGAAGGTCAAGAAGCTATGCCATCGGTTCGCAGAACTACGGCGGGAGACCTTGTACTGAGAAGAACCGGCAAGAAACTCAGCAAGGGCTGCTTTTTTCTCCCTGTTTTGATATATACAGAATCGTCAAGTTGAAAAATGACTTCAGAGATACTTCTGAAGTCACCTTCCATTACATTATTTAGGATATAGATATATACATAGTTACAATAAATTTTATATTTAGTATATAGGAAGCGGCGGTAGATTGGTACCATATTATTATTACTGTCACAAAAACTGACTATTACCCATCAAATAATAAATTACAAGAAAAACTATGTCCATGCATTACGATCATTTAGATAATCATTATCTTTATAATAGCCCATATTCATAAGAGTATTCTTGATCTGAGATTTAAATTCGGTTAGTGGAAGCTCAATCAGATGTAGGGGAACTTTGTTAAACAATGCAATACTACATCCCATAAATGAACCTCTTGATTTTTGGAGTCTGAAACATGGAACGGCAAGCTTCTTCTTAAATCTCGTGTTAAAGTTATGGGTTTGACTTTTATTTGCAAATGCGTCATAGTTTTTTCTTACATATATTATATTTTCATAAATGTTATAATAATAGAGGTGATGACGGCGCGTGATGATATAGCGCGTCAAAGTTTGGGAGTAGGGGCTCGTGACGGCACTTTTGAGTGAATTTTCACTTATAAGTGTACTCAAACGTGACGTCATGCGACTTTTCAAATCAATATATCTCTGCAATGTTTATATTATGTGAAAAAAGAACAAATACGTGTCCAATACTTTTTGATAATCTACCTGATAAACGAATAAAAAAAAAATTAGTCATCATCCCTATTGTAATATTCTTTTTGTCATTTGTTTTTGCAGGTGCCTTCATGTTTCAAGCCATAGAAGGTGCGGGCGAGATGGAGAGAGAAAACCAGATGATGCGTGAGCGAGACAACACCGCTCAGTACCTCTGGCAGAATGTCACACTGACGCTCAATCTGTTTAATGAAACTGAACTGAAGCGAAGGTCAGTCTGGTTGGAGTAAGGGTGGGTAGGGATGTCGAAAGTTGAAAAAAATATCGATATATCGATACATCGATCTTTTAAAAAATATCAATATCGGCTTCGATATATCGCGAAAAACACATCGATATATCGGACCAATTTTCCCAAAAATATCGTACAGTATCTCACGAAATATGACACGCGGAATAATAATGAAACGAAAATTATCTCCCTAAAAATAGACCCAATTTTCGAATGATGAAAATGATTGCAGGGCCTCTCAGGTAAATGATTGCAGGGTCTCTTTCGTAAACAAGACTAGACAGTCACACACTTCACAGAATATAATGGAAATCAGCACAACCAATTCACCAGCGAAACAGATTTACAAATAATAGACAATACTAAATACAGCACAGATCATAGATATGTTGAATATCATTAATCTGAGATCCAGTTACGATTTTTCCAGATACGAATTTAGTTAGATCGTGATATGCCGCTAATAATTAAAAAAATATCGTTTTTGATACGATACGAATACAACCAGTATTTGTATCGTATTTTGTATCGATATATCGAATCAAAATATATTGGCAAAAAATATCGATATATTTTCAACAAGCCTGGGGTAGGTGATCGACAAGTTTATTTCCTAAAACTCATTATGCATTTTTTCTTATAGGTACGTAGTTCCGACAAATGACTCCACCCCACCTGATGTTAAGTGAAGGTGAAGTCCAGACGTGAAGATAGCTGATACAGCAGTTCTACCTGCCACACCAGCCATCCTCACCCTGCCGGCCTGCATGTTGCTTCTTCACGCCTCTTTTAAAGGATCCCTGGTTGTAAGAGGGAGGGAACACGTGAGCGGGCAGAGCATTCCATTTACGGATAGTGCGACAAACAAATGAGTCACCCAAATTTCTTTGTACGCGTTGGGAATGTGGCCACAGTTAAACGGTGACAACGTTGGCCAGCGCGCGTGGTCCTCTGAAGGAAAGGAGAAGGTGGAATGAGAGAGAATAACTCCTCAGAACACTCGCCGTGGTACAGACGATAGAACGCGCTTAGTGACGCCACGTCACGGCGTAATTGAAGAGGCTCAAGGTGTTTAGTCACCTCCTCATCGCCTATGATGCGGATCGCGCGCCGCTGTAACCTATCCGAAGCATCGAGCAAGTACTTGGCGGAGCCATCCCAGAGGTGCGATTATTATTTGATTCTTCTAGACAAGGACGCTGGCCCTAGAGATGATATCCAGGGCCTGATGACAGAGCCGAAAGGTAGTCATGAGAACTTTATCAAATAACTTTGGATTGATTCATTTGATTGTTGTGAACAAAATACTGCCCAACGAGAAAAAAATATTTTACCGTTATGTTTTGCTAGATGTTTAAATCTAAAGAAAAGTTTACTAGAAATGCATTCGCACGGATTGCGAAGGGTGTGGTTTCGAGTCCCGTCCGCTGCCTTGTCCGCGTGGTTTTTTTTCTAATAAACTTTTCTTTATGTTTTACCGTATCATTTTCTTATTTTTGTTTATGCCACGCAACTGGGTTGAATACGCTTGTTTCGTGAGATAAACATGCAGCAGTCGTAAGAGTTAAAAAACAACCAAAATGATTTCTAATACTATCTATTATAAAAATTACAATTCTAATTCTTAAACAAGTTGACCCGATCGAAGTGTTAAAGCAAGTGGCGAGGCCTCGGGCAGCATGAGGCATCGAAGAGGTGCGGGGGGCTCGGCGGTGTACGTGTGGTTCTCACGTTTGTGCAATGTCGGCGTTATGGTCATATTACAACATGTACTGTGTGAATTGTAATACGACCACAGACATAGATAGTATAGATAACGCAAGTTCATCAAATTGTATGAAAACCACGCGTGCCACATTTTTAGTACCTACTGTGACGTCACAAGAGCATTTTAGTGATGGGAATTCTTCGTCCGCGCGTAACGATTCAAAGGCGCCAGCCGCGGCGAATTGTGCGCCAGTACGCCGCTAGTCCTTGAAGTGAGAAGTCGCGCGCGTGCATCCCGTCTGCTTGACTGTTATTGCTTTAATTCACCGCTTTTCAAATAAGTTTTTGTTTATAGATACGTAAAAAATTGATTGTAATACTTATAAGGCTTTTTAGCAGAAACCATTAAAAATAAGAAATGTGGCGTGAGCTAATGTAGGTATTTTGCAGTTTTGTTATAGTATGAGTAAAAATGCCGAATTTCATATATCGATTATTTAATCGATTATAATTCGAGTTCAAAGACAGAGGAATGATAAAACTAAAGTTACTTGATTTTTTACTGTAATCATAATATAATTTTTATTTGCCTATCGTGTTGTGTCGTGACACGTCAGAGAGGTATCGGCTTCAAACATTTAGTACGGTTAGAATTATATTTGTCTGTCGCGATCTGTCGACATAATGCGACACACAAATATAATTCTAACCGTACTAAATGTATGAAACCGATACCTTTCTGACACGTCACGACACAACACGACAGACAAATATAAATTCAAAATATAAATATTGAAATTTCTTCTAAAGCTAAGCAATTTCCATCATTTTTAGTTTTCAGCTGATCATGGCACAATAGTTTTTTGTAAAAGGATTTAAACTGTCGGGATGTGGGGTTATTATTGCATCCTCCGTGTGTCCGTACATTGCAGAAGAATAGTTCAAGATGATCTTGACTAAAGCGGTACATTGTCAAGAATTTAATTTTTTCTTCTTCTATTAAGTGATGAACCAGTTCTTTTGTGCTTGCCATACAAACTAATAAGCCAATGAATCCAGTTTGCCTTCCACTTTTGATCAATGACTGTCCTTCGGAAGTTTTTAGTCCTTTAATATAGTTTTCAGCATCATTAAAAATAGATTAGATTAGTAAAATGCCGTATGATAAGATACTATGAAAGTAACTAAAATATACAGTCCTGGCAGTATCTATATCAGTAAGTTGTCTTATCTTTCTTATGGCATAAGCTGCTGAACTAAGTTTACCAGCCAAAAGCGTAATGTGATGACTCCATTGCAGTTTTGAGTCTACCGTTATACCCAAGAATGTAGTCGAGTCTACTAAATCTAATTTTTCATTATTTAATTCAATTTCAATATGCTCAACTTTTACATTAGGTAAGGAAAATTGAATACACTTGGTTTTATTAGCATTTAGCTTTAGATTATTGACATTAAACCATTGCAGAACTTGCGAGAGAGCATTATTCACATCATCATAGTTGTTTTTGCGCCTGTCAACGTTAAATAATAAAGATGTGTCATCAGCAAATAATACAATCTCACACAAGTTTTCCACAAAAAACGGCAAATCATTTACATATACTAGAAACAGGAAGGGACCTAAAATTGAACCCTGGGGAACGCCCATTTCCACATGAGATCCAGATGATCTAACACCATTTACCTCTACAGTTTGTAGAGGTAAATGGTGTTAGATCCTCTTCGATCTGCCCATCAGGGCTTGTTTTTAAATTTTTCATTTGTCTAAAATAAAGTTCCTTAGTTGTAACATTTATAACTTTTAAAGATTCAGCTTGCTCCTCAGTGATGAGGGCTTTCTTTTTTAAACATTCTATTATTGTCTCCAGAATAATATTTTTTTTATGTTTACGACGATTCTGCTCTTGTAACCTTTTTATTTTTAACTTTGATTTTTGATTATTTTATTTAATTTTGTCTTCTTTGGTGAATTTAGTAACGAAGGTTTCTCCAGTGTACGAGATGGTTGATTTATTTCCTGTAAATGGAAAGGAATAAAAAATTATAATAATACCGTATACTATATATACATTGCATGTGTATTGTATATTATGGGCCCGGCTCGTCCACTAACCTCTTCACTACTTGTGGTCTTCACTATCTGAATTGTCGGATACGCTTTTTCGAACAAGCGTCGTTTTTTCGTTGAAACATAGTCGTCCTATTTAAAATGCATGGAACAAAGCGTACTGTGTTTTGTAGGGAACCAGTCTTTATTGCCTGTTACGTCAATCCATTTTTCTTTAGTATTAGAATCACGTGGAAATCTTAAATAAATAACTTAAATAAATTATCATTCTTCTGTCTCCAAAATCGACTACACGAATGAATCGATTGAATCGAATATACGATTATGCAAGTACAACACTATTTGTAAAATTCGACAGAGGAATGAGAATAGTGGATGGACCACGAATTCATCGCGGTTGCGATTGTTTCGTTTGTATTGTTTTCATTGCGCATTAACTTAACAACTCCAATTATACTAGCAAAGACAGACCGGCAATGGATAACGATATTGGATCCGTAACGAAGATATGTTTGGACGTAGTAGGATTCACTAATAATAATAAAACATCGGGTTTAATTAAATTACAGCTCTAATAAATAACACAACTACTTACCGATGATACGAAACGTCTCCTCTCACTCTACAAACTACTTTCGACGTATTTTTACAATTAACAACGGCGCAATTAGGCATTTTGATATTTTCAAAGACTATTTTCCGCTAACGCAGTCCAAAGCGCACTGAGCTCTGACCGGGCCGTATTTGAGCATTGCTCAAATTGCCGGCACGCATTGGCGACGGCATGCGTCATCTATACTATCTATGTCTGTGAATACGACGGTGTCAGCGTTCTTCGTAATCTGGCAATCCGTAACACGTGCAATACAGACTGTACCTCCCGAGCTGCAGACGCGGCGGCGGCCTCTGCTAGCTCACACCAATCAGCCTAGCCTAGCCCCAAAGTAAGCACTGTGAGCTTGTGTTATGAGATCGGATAGAATCTCTTATCTATTAGACAAGTCCATCCGTCCGTCTGTGGTGCTGTTTCAGCGGCCAAACCGTAAGAGATAGATAAAGAGAATATTAAATTATAAGTTAAGAATAGTCTGATAAGACTACAAACAGGATTAATTGAGTAACGTAGCACTTCCGGTTTTCGAGAAATTACTAATTTCAAACGAAACCACACAAAATCTCCGAAGTTCTCAATTAATTAAAAACATATTTTTTTTTAAATCAGGTTTTGGTGAACATTTGGTTCACTGGTTTGCTAGTACATATACATAAGTATATTAATATAGAAATACATATTAAACATCCATGACTGGAGTAAAAAATGCTCGTAAACGTCACACAAACATCAGCCCCCACCGGGATTCGAACCCAAAACCATGAAACCCGGCGTACAAACCGCTTGGCCGCAGAGGTCGTCAAAATACACATATTCTGGCCGTTTGGTGTTGAGACTATGGGTCCATGGGGTCTCCAAGCGCTCGTTCCCTTTTTATGGAAATGTCGAAGAGGCTCACCGGGGTGTCTGGTGATCAAAAGGCTGGCAGCTATCTCAGCCAACGGATCATCCTTACCATCCAACGTGGCAATGCTGCCAGCCTATTGGGCACCATAGCTGACGGCGGCACTAGGGTAACATATTCAATATTTTGTAAATTATATATTGTTACGGGTTCGAAATTATATGCCAGTTCACGCTTGACAGTTCTTTATTCACCACACAGTTCACACAATTAACACACAATGTTAATTACAAAACACTCACTAAACACTGTATTTCACTATACAAGTGTCTAAACAATCTCAATTGAACACTTTTGTTGCACTTAGATCGCCTTTGGATTCGCTCCGAAATCGCTGTTGAAACTCAACTGTCTCTGCGCGGCGCCAATCGCGCTTATATACGCCGATCGACGCATTCTAGAAAGTACCTGTTAAATTGAGAATTACTTATCACCCGCGAGTACGAAGTACCTACTTATAGCTACGCAGGTAACACGCATAACTTGTAAACAAGTGCAGATGTCGTTGCACTTTCTCCCTTAAGCCGCACTGCATAAGGCTCATTTCAGAATGAGCCGCATTACTCGACCTCTATCGCGACCCCCGGTGATCTGGCAAATTCGATCTCTGGCACTTTCGCGGTTACTTTTCGAGAACGTTTGTGACAATATTATTTAAGTAGGTGAGAAGGTTAAGGTGATTTGGATATAGTAGTTTTTAAGTTTTTATTATTTATATAGCAAGAAAGAAAGAAAGAAATAATTTATTGACCAACAAACAAAGCATAAATAAAACAAAAAAAAAACAGAATAAGGTCAACTAGGTCCCAGCCTCAGCACATTGCCACAACGACACTTAGGCCGCAGCGGCGCTGATATTCTAGGCAGGGCCTAAAGGTTGCCGTGAATAAAAGTAGTCATAAAAACAAAAACACACAATCACGGATAAAAAGATAAAAAAAATGGTTGCCTGTAAAGTCGGTTTTACGGGCGAAGATTTTACGTGACAACGTCTTTTTCTCGGTAGAATATTTATTGATATGAATATAATTAAATTGCACAATAGGAACAAGGAATTGAATGAAAATAAGAATTGCACAAATTTTAACTATAGAAATATATTTTGTTTACTAAAACATTGTACATGTAAACTTAAACTTAACACGAGAGACTCATCGTAACGTTACCGAGCGTTACACTTTTTCATAAGTGACTCCCAGCCGCAACCTAATTTAAGACGTTGTCACGTCAAAATATGAAAAGGCTGTTGTTTTTTTCCTTTACCTTAGCGCAAACATAATAAAACTATAATGGATGTGTGTAATTAAATGATTTTTTTTAAATTAGAAAAGAAATATTTTACTATCAGAAAATTTAACAAATACACACAGCAATTCTTCGAGTATCCGATAACATAGAAAACTATGCAATAATTAAAGAATTCCAATCCATAGCAGTCCGATATGTTACAGTTGGAAACGTTCGTAACCTGAATTTGTTTTTACAAACATTGTTTCGTGTAAATCCAGAATATTGGTATCGTAAGCTCGTGAAAATTTTTCATATGCGTTCAATATTTTACTTTTCAATAAACTCACTGATTTGTTTCCCAAATAAAGTATAAAATAAAATGAAAAATATCGGTCTACGTTGATTTTGATGCCTCCAAAACTATAACTGATTTTTTGAATATATTGGGTACCCCGATTTCAACTGCATACTTATTTTTTTATGCTACCTGTTGTTTTAGAGATAAGAGATATTACTAAAACCAAAATCTTTATTTTCTTAAAGTGCATTATTATTATCCTATAAGTTAGTTATATAACAGTTATGGCAGTTTGTTACTACTGTACCAGCTATCTTCGCGTTTAGACTTTATCACCACTTAGCTTCAGGTGGGGTAGAGTCATTTGCCTGCTTGAATATATATAAAAAAAACGAGTTTTTGGCGGGATTTCATCGAGTGCGGTTGGCGTCTTATTTTAATTATTCTTAAATTCGTTCATAGTGGATATTGTGAAATAAAATTGGTGTGGTTTTATGTAACAACTATCTGCGTAACTGAAGAATTGGTGGAATCAGTAAAATATACGCTATTCCGGTCAAGTGGACGTGAGAATTTTATTGTAGTGTTGACTACCTCACAGAAGCTTATCGAAAAAGCCAACTCGATACATTTCGTGCCAAACACTCCAAGAAACATTAGAATGCGTCACACCGACATTCTAATGTAAAAACAAAAAGAAAATTAATTTAATTAAAGACCAGGCTGTATGGGCATTGTTCCCTATGCCTTCCCTAAAACGGGAGAACTTCAACAAAAAATAAAAAAAATAAACTACCATGTGACATTTCAACAGTAATCTGCCATAACATGCTAATCTCTTTGATGCTAATCCCGGCGACCTTGGTAGACATCTTCCATTATTTTTAGTTCCTGATGCAAGCATTCCTTGATCTTCGCTGGGAACCAAGGAAGCGCCGAAAAGGAAGAAATATTTTCAAGATGGCTGTAATGCAGGGCTTGTAACCGGTTTCGAAAATACCGGTAAATAGATGGTAATACCGGTTTTAGTAAAGATTTCGTTCGTAGCGCGTCCTAAATTTAAGCGGTACCTAAAACCTTAATAAACCGGTTTAATCCAGAGTGAAATGTGCACGCGTCGGCATCGCCCGAAGTTTGTTTTGTTTGAACTAATCAAGTCAAATCTTGTTAATGCTCAGAGATTGATGCATTTTTGACACGTTTGCTAGCGTCTAGTGAGTCAAGTTATGCATTTTGTAGTTGTGTACTGACACACTACTTCACTCACTCGCTCTGTAGTTGGAAAGAAACTGACATAAAATCATTATAAATTTCAATTGAAACGGCGAAGGCCATGCCGTCAGTAAGAGCGTAATGAAACCCTTTAAAAACCGCTAAACTGATTCAAAACCTGTTTGATTTCGCTTTTTAGGAAAACCGGTTTTTTTAAGGTTAAGGTAGAGCCAAACCTAAATAAAACGCTCCTAATGTACTTGATACTGATTTAGATTTGAAAATTAACCGGTAAACAAGCCTTGATGTAATGTACAGCCAACATTTTCAAAGCTATCTAGAAGCTCCCGAACTGATTCAAAGTGATTTTCTACTTCGTCATTAAATAAGAAATTTACTCTGATACTCCAGGATCAGTCTGGAGCTCCAGAAATACCAGGGCAAGGTGGTGTTCGCGGTCCGGCGCGGCTGGGACGGTGGCCGCTCCTCGCGCCAATGGAGCTTCTCCTCCGCATTCCTCTACTCACTCACCGTCATCACTACTATAGGTATGTTGCTAGCCTATATAATCCTATCATCACCTATCCTACCCTATCCTCTCCTACCTTTTCCTCTCCTACCCTATCCTCTCTGACCCTATTCTCTCCTATCCTACCTTATTCTCTCCGATTGCACCATATTCTATCCTATTGTACTCCAGGATCACCATGGAGTTTGATAAGTACCAGGGTAAGGTGGTGTTCGCAGTCCAGCACGGCGGGGTGGCGGCTGCTCCTCGCGCCATTGGAGCTTCTCCTCCGCATTCCTCTACTTACTCACCGTCATCACTACTATAGGTTTATTGTTAACCTGTACTATCCTATCCTCTCCTATGTAACATTTTCCTCTCCTATAGTATTCTCTCTTATTATACCCTTTCCTCTCCTATTCTACCTTATTCTCTATTATTTTTCCCTATCCTATTATTACTTAATCTAGAGTTCTTCAAATTGTCACGTTTTTATAGAGGTAATTTTTATCATCCCCTCACTACTGAGGATTGTGCATTGTGATCATTTAAGTTTTCGCATTATTTGTGATTTATAGTAATATAAGTTATTTACGGGTTTGTTAACATGTACCTTGTTTTTAGCGAGTTTCCGATGTTTCGGCACTGTTGCAAGCGTCGGCCATGGTCAAGGAGTAACCAACTGACCAACGTGGTAACAATCCCGTAAATAACTTATATTACCATAATGTTCGTGAACATGAAAGTTTAAAACAATATATGTATTTGTGATTTGTCTCCATCCTATGGTTTTTTTTCACTGCCTGGTGTAATTTACTTGAGGAGGTTGCTCTTCTATTTGATCTATTATTAGAGCTCTAATAATATATCAAATAGACTTGAAAATTGTGCTGTATTCTAACTCTATAGACCTGTATTCTACCTGTACCTGTATTCTACAAGAATTTCAAGTCTTATTTATCTTACAGAAGATTCTTCTTATAAGAATTACAGTGCACATACAAATCATCGTTAAGTAAATTAGACTAAATTAGAGATTAATACAGACTTTTTTTTTCCAACACTCACACCAATTAGCCTAACCCCAAAGTAAGCACTGTAAGGCTTGTGTTAAGGGATACTAGGTTAACAGATAGAATACATACACTGTACATATATAAGTATATTTATATAGAAATACATATTAAACATCCATGACTGGAGTACAAATGCTCGAATTCATCACACAAACATCTGCCCCCACCGGGATTCGAACCTAGGACCTCTCGAGTCGGCGACACCATGAAACCTGGCGTACAAACCACTCGGCCACGGAGGACTTCGGACTTTATATATAGAAAAATACTTTCTTTGCGGCATTATCAAGAGAACGCGGAATCTTCAGCGTCACTTTAAACGTTTATTAGTGCAGGACTCTTAAAAAGTTCAACTATCAAAGTTTAATCTCTCAACTTGAATGAGTCCTAAACCCGAACTAATATTTTAAACTTCCGAGCGAGCTAAAGCGTCTGGTCCAAGTTTGAACACCACTTAGGTGCCGCAAGGGAGAGTAAAAGATAGCCTGAGGCAGTAGTATAAATGCTCTCCTATTCTGACGGAAGTTGGGAAGTGAAGTTTGACGGTAGATTGTTACGACTATGATTTAAAATAAAGCATCTGAAAATAGTTTTAATCTTAGCCTTAATCAAAGCTATTGAAATCAGCTTGTTTTAAAAAAATGTTAAAAGAATAAACAAGCTAATAATATATAATTTTATTTGTAATGTTTATATAAGTTTAATTCTATCGACGTAGCCTGTAAAGGCTACACAAATAAAACAAAAAATCAGCGTTTAGTGACGTCACTCCTGTTATGACAACTTCTTTGAGGTTATGGTTGTTAAAGTAAATATTATTTTATGGGAATATTTATTGCGTTTTTTTACATTTAATAAAAATGGAAGTTGCGTTTATCAAAGCAGACTCCAGGAATTTACCAAGAGTTAGCGTTGACATGGTTATAACTTTTTTTGTCCAAAGTGCAGAGATTTTAAGTGTAGAAATGAAAGGGACTATATTACTAAGGTATGTAAAAATCGTAGTTTATTCGTATTTATGTCCAAATTAAAAGAGATGGAAAATTATGTACAGTAAAAGGTCGAGTTCTCGGGAGCATAAACTACGTAAAGAAGGTTATCGTGTTACAGTTATTTTAAATGAAACGCAAAGCTTGGTTCAGTCCTGCCAATGTGAAGATTGTGCCACACATTTTAAACTTTATCTAATTTTCGACGTCATTCTCCAACTGTAAAATTAAAAATATGTTATAGACAGGTTTTGTAAGTATGAGGTAGGTTACTAATGCGTTTTACGTACAAGCAGATTAATTAAGCATATAACAAGTATATTCGCCAACTTACGTCAAAGTGATCTTCTTAGCATCGAATAATGGTCTTTGGAGAATAATTGTCATTTCTCTTCGCAGCTTGAAACCACTTTTTTTCAGTTTTGGGTCAGAAGTTCCAGTCAAAAACAATTTATTTGGGAACTTTGGTGAAGTAGATTGGCACAAAACATGAGTCAACACGGCTTTTTTTCGGAATATTAGTGGTACTGTTATGATCACATGATGTTGATGGGTAGTCCATTTTAAATTTTTAAAAAAAATATTTCGAAAGTCGAAAAAATATGCAAAAGTATGAAAATTTAAAGCCAGCAACGAACAATTACGACCAGTGACAGACAGGAGTGACGTCATCGCAACCATAGGTTCGTTTTCGCGCGAAAATTTAAATTGTCAGTTTAAAAGCGCATTTTTTCCGATAAATCACAATGTTTTAATTTTTTATTATATCTGTAGTTTATTCTACATGGAATTCTTTAAAATGAAAACAAAAATAAAAATATTCCATCTTCCCTATTTCAAAAATATCACACACTAGTCATCATTTTGTAAATATGTATTATAATTCCATCTGTACATAATAATAAAATCACTATTCCAGAGTGCTGGACACTTACCGGCATTTCTCTATATTCTGTTATTTATTTGTTTTCATAAATTTTGCTCCGATTTTATCTATTTTTAGTTTATTTATTTTATTGACATTTGTGACAACTTAATGTTTTTTATCCGTTGCCATGGCTAAAAGTGAAAGGTACGCAGATGAGGTTGCGCACAAAAACGTAACGAGGTCATTAATGTCATTCATCGATAGATTTTACTCCTCACATTTTTCTCATACCGGGCCCCTTATCAAATCAATTCTTAAGGAGTAAACTCCAAAAATAATAATAACAATACATATTCTCGATAATGATAAATAAGCTGGTGATGACGAGATTAATGAATGAATGGATGAATAGCAAAGTGAAGTTTCTGTGTCCCACCGCGCCTCAATGACCTTTTCCATATCACTACAATTATTGCCGTTGGAAGGGGATACCAAATTGCCCATCATTCTTTAATGATTCGATGGAATCTTCCTTTAATAGGCAGTGGCGGCGCTAGGCGTCGGCAACGTCGGCCACCGCCGACGGCCTCGCGCCTGAGGGGGCCTCGCAAATTTTTTTTACAAGTTACCTATTTATTTTTGTTTCTCCTGGCCTGGCTTAGGTAGCCGACCCCGAACAATTCGGGGAAAAAGCTAAGCAGATGATAATGACTTTTATTATTTTCGAACACGTGCGTGATGGAAGCAAGTAGTACTTTACGGGTATTCAGTATCGTCTGTCTGGCAACACTATTTTTGTAATTAAATTTCTATGTTTATAATTATCTTTTGTCATCATTTGGCTATCAACAATAAAACTCGTTTATTCATACGTTATTTTATAATTTGGCTCACTTAATTTAACGGTTTTTTACTGCGAAGTAAAATAGGCCTCGCGAACTTGATGTTCCCGACGTCCACATGTGGTTTAGCGCCGCCACTGTTAATAGGTACTATTGACCTGCCCTTATTATTACATCGCCGTTGATTGTATTTCAGTGACATTAATTGTTTGATTTTTGATGGCAGGGTACGGGCACCTGTCGCCGCGTACGGACTGGGGGAAGGTAGTGACAGTTCTGTACGCGCTGCTTGGGATGCCCCTGTTCCTGCTGTACCTAAGCAACGTCGGTAAGTTTATTTTTTTAGGGTTCATATCCAAAATATTAATAGCGGCGCACGGCAATCACGAGGTCAGATATGGACAAACTTCAAAAAATATGGAGAAACAGGAACATCACAAAAGCCACGAAAACACGACTCGTCAGAGTATTAGTGTTTCCCATATTCTTCTATGGTGCTGAGACGTGGACCTTGCGAGACAGTGAGAAAAAGAAGATAGACGCTCTAGTAATGTGATGCTGGAGGAAAATGTAGTAAATAACATACAGTGGACACAATTCCGAACCAATGCATCCATCCTCCAGGAACTGTCCATCAAACAATGTCTGTCTTTCATCGTACAAGGTCGTATTCTAACTTTCTTTGGCCACGTCTCACGCCGGGAAGATGCGTCAGTGGAGAGCTGGTGGTACAGGGCGGCGTCGAGAGCGTAAGGGCGCGCGGCAGATCACTAATGCGCTGGACTGACCAGATAAAAGCGGCACTGAACGGTCTACTTCACGAGTGCTCTAGAAAGGCCGCAGTGCGGGACGAATGGCGGTGTATTGCGAAGCGCACCACCAACCCTGATGTGCCGACCACGACCACTCTGTCAAGAGTGTAGCGCCGAAGAAGAATCCAAAGTATGTATATAAAGCAGGTACACTAGCTCGTATTATCAATACGGTTTAAAAAACAAACCTCGTATTACGAGACAGATTTTTCTGAAACTTTTGAGTTCTCTCGACTTCTCCAAAATTCTATCATCCTGACCTGACCCTTTCAATTAGGGCTGCCACCCGTACTTTATTATAAAGTATTGTACGTTATTTCGGGTAATTGTACTCTATACTTTATGCCAACAATAAAGTATGCGAAAATACTTTATTTAATGTGATTTGATTACTCGGGGATTAATTTTACATAAAATATACAAAAAGAGGTCGGTCGATAGGAAGAATTTCTGCATAAAAAGGACAGAAAATATGAAAATGTCGCCCTCAGCTTCCCTCCTGCATCATTTTCGTGACTTTGTATTATGACCTTTCCCATTGCGGAAAAGAACTACAGATTTTTAGTAGCCACAAATTATTTATTAAAAGTTGCTAGTAGCAACGTAAAATATATTTTTAAGCTTACTAATAAAGAGCAATAAATGTTACTTTATTTTGGACACATTGTACTTTTTTTCTACCTTCAATATCCAATGAACTTTATTTGGACAAAAAAAAGGTGACAACCTTACTTTCAAACCTCTTTCATGCAAAAGAAATAATTTTTGAATTTGGTTAAATCTTACAAAGATTTCTGTTATTAAGAAAGAGATATAAATCAGTTATTAAGAACTCCTAGATAAAGTTACTGTATTCCTTAAACAAGCATTACACCACGGAAAACAAGGAAGGGACCAATCCCTCGGGGAAATCAGGATAATTAGCCGCAAACTTCGCACGATAATCCTCGATTAACATTATAAGTTTGTCAGAACAAGTATGTCGTAATTCATAATGCGCCAAGTTACATCAACTGTACAAAGTTTAGAGGAACTCCAAGTTGTTTATACTTACATACAAAATGATTGCTAATTAGCACTTAAGTTATCAAAACAAATATTATGACTTATTACAAGCTTTTATTTAACTTGCTATGTATGTTTGTTACGGTCAAATCTTACAACTCAATTTTAAAGCACTTGCCCTCAACCGATTAAGCTGAAATTTGGTATGCTCGTTCAGTTCGGATGACAATGCATGCTTAACAGTGTGACGTCATTCTAAATCCAATATGGCGGCATACCCAAAATGGCGGACCAATCATTTTTAATGCATTCCTACAATATGGGTATCAAATTAAAGGGCTTGCTGAGAGTAACTCGAAAAAAATGTGACGTCACTCTCAATCCAATATCTTCTAAAATTTGAAAATCTATTTAGAAACAAACTTTAACTAAATTTTCTTTTTTTCTTTTTAGCGCATTTGAATAAAAGCTTGTTTTTAAAAAGGTTTTTGTACTTTAATTTTATTTGTTACATCAAGGTTACTTCAACTAGAAGTTAACTTTTAGGGCGCTTTCAATTTATGCGTTTCTTGACGGTCTGCTGCGGTGCCGTAGCGGTGCGTACCAATATTAATTATCAATATTTGTTATTGTTTGTTTAAAAATATCTGATTTTTATTCTAGAATTAGCTGAGTGCTAAAAAATGTTACCTATTAAAGACGCGAAAACTAAAATAAGAAAATGGTTACTTACCCTTAACTATGATTATACCGAATCTTTGCTGTTAAACTAAGTTCCCTACTTTTTGACTTGCACGCACATTCACTAAAACACACACACACACACATACACACACACACACACATACACACACGGACACACACGAACACACACGGACACACACGGACACACACGGACACTCACGCGAACACTCACGCGCACTTATTTATTCTGATCGAATTCTGATTGCTTCAATTATTTCAATAATGTATGTCTTATTGTAAAACTGTTTTGTTACATAAGTAGTAGATCTATATGTATTCGGAAGTGGGCACTGACCCTGTCACACAGGTCTTAGGGGTCAGGGACTACATTATAAACATGTAATCAATTTATGTGACAATAAATAAATTTGTTATTATTATTAGTGTTCCGAGATTTTTTTGCAAACTGTACTTTTCAAGCGGCATTTGACAGATGGAGGTCATTGGCTTTCCTATTCTTATATGAATCGCATTATACATTATTGTTCCAGGGGAACTCCTGGCGCGGTGGTTCAAATGCCTATACGCATTAGCATGCCTCTGCAGAGGATGTCCTGGATTCACACGACGCCGCGTCGCCAGGCTGCGGACCCAGGTATTAGAATAGAATAGAATAGAAAATTATTTATTTGCGTTTGAACAGGGTAATCAAGGTCATAAATAGTTACACATAACTATACTGTAGGTTTCACCTATTCAGCTATAGAACGTAGCATGCAAATTTACATCAGTTTTTTTATCAAATTAATTAATACTATGTCACACGATTGAATAAAAATTACTTAACAGGTCACAAAATAAATAGTCAAAAATATAAAAATTCGATTAAAATCAGGTCATATTAAAATGTGAATCAAAAATATAATTAAATCAGTATATGTCACTCAAAATCTCATCCACCAAAATTACTATTATTTATATATTAGCTATCATAATTCAAGAATTCCTGGACCGAGTAGAATTTACGTTCAATGAGCCATCATCTATGTAGTGTTATTTTAAATCTACTGAAAGGCAAATCTCTTATTGAATGTGGAATATTATTAAAAATTTGAATGCACATATAGTAACAGTTCTTTTTAAAACGTGTGCTTATTGCATAGTCTTGTTATTTGTGACCAAACAAGGACCCAGCACAATATCTTCTTCCTCAACGAAACATTTCGCACTCGTCTGTATTATGCTTTTCAGGCTGCAGCACACTCTAGTTCCTGTTTTTACTATCTTCTTCGTCGTCGTTTCCTCATGGCCGAGGGTGACCTTCACACTTCACCAACGATCTCCAGACCGTTCTGTGTTCTGCAAGGCGGATGGACGCCTGCAAGTTGGCATTCGTAGTTTCTTTAACTATGTCCAACCACCAGGATGGAGACCTGCCCCTACTCCTCTTGCCTTCCGCGTTTCCCACGACCAGAAGCTTTTCAAAATTATCTGGGCTTCTCCTTGCTACGTGACCGAAGTATTTTAGAAGGCGCTGCATGCAGACAGAAGAGACACGCGTCTTGATACCCTGTTGTTGTTTTTACTATCAAGCAACCATTATCAGCCTATTACAGATATTGGGGCATAACCCACCACGCGGGCCCAGTGCGGATTGGCGGGTGCTAACGAACGATGCAGCCGGGACCAACGGCTTAACGTACCTTCCGAAGCACGGAGGAACTCGAGATAGAAGGTTTTTCGTCACCCATCCAATGAACGACCACTGCGAAAGTTGCTTAACTTCAACGATTGCAGCCGAACGCGCTAACCACCCGCGCCATCGAGCTCCTCATATCAGGCAATATTTTTTATTTTTTACGTGGCAAACTTTAGTAATTTCTGTAATTCTGTAATGAAATACCAAACCACTTGTCCAAGCACAGCCATCTTTAACAAAGTTTCTACAGCGTTTTTTGTGAAATTTAATACAATAAAATATAGATACAATCTTAAGGCCAATTACGGAAACTCATTATGTACACATTAGATACTAACGACGTTATTATATGTCAGTAATTATTACATTTAATTTAATTTTAAAAATTGTATTAAAAATCGTATAATTAACTAACATAAATAATAAAATAAAATTAAGATTGGACAAAACATAACAAAAAGACAAAAAAAGAAAAACAAACACTGAATAACCATATAAAAGGGTATTCAAGAATTTGTCACATGATAATTTTATGAAGTGTGGGTGGGTGTGTGTGCGCGTATGTGTATGTGTGTGTGTGCGCGTATGTGTATGTGTGTGTGTGTATGTTTGTTCACATATAAGATACGAGAAAAAAGACGTATGTTTTCCAGATAGAAACCAGCGAGGCTGAGAGTATAGAGCGGCCTGTGCATTGGAGATCACGACATTCAGACTCTGACTACACACCTGACAGGCGAGATGCGAGGTAATTAATCTAGTAATTAAAATTAAATTAGTAATCTATATCGATTTTTATATTAGACTAGTGGCCCGCCCTCGCTTCGCTTCGGTGTAGAGCTGTAGTGTAAACTATAGTTTTTGTTCTCAGGCTTGTGCTATAAACAATGACTTTATTTATATAATTACACGTGTTATTGTGAGTCAACCATAAAAGATAGACATATGCTGTTGCGGGATATTTTCTAGACAATTTTATGTAAAATATTTCCGTCATACATGATTTCTATGTAACTTTAACCATTAAGGCTGCACACGCGACGGAAGCTTAAAAAATGGAGTAACTTCTCCCGTTTTCCCAACATTTCCCTTCACTACTCTGCTGCTATTGATTGTAGCGTGATGAAAAGTATACTATAACCTGCCCAGGAGTATGAAGAATAATTGTACCAAGTTTCGTTAACATCCGTCGAGTCGTTTTTGTTTCTATAAGGAACATACACACAGACAGACAGCCAGACAAAAATTTTACTGATTGCATTTTTGGCATCAGTATCGACCACTAATTACCCCCTGATAGTTATTATGAAAATATATTTCAGGTACAGAATTGACCTCTCTACAGATTTATTATAAGTATAAAAGAGTAGCAAGGGTAGCAAACCATGTTGTCAGGTCCGATTTATTAAAATCGGGAGGCGTTTGAGATAAAATCAGTAGATGTAAGGAAAGCGCTACAGTAACGAATGTATTTCTGTGGCTTCAGCCGCCCTTCAAAGCTCGTTTTTTTAAGTGAAAACTTCTTTACCGGCGTTGTACACTTTTTTTTTGTATGGGTAAAAATATTAAACCCCCTGTTAACTCAGGTTAAACACGTGGGCTGATCACATCATGACACACAATAAAATTGGAAAGGTTTTTGACTTTCAATATATTGGACGAAACAAAGTAATATTTTATTTTATCGTATTATATTATTAAGTCTCTATCTAGGACGTCCACGTGGCAGCTTTATTGCGAAGAAAATGTATTTATTTTAAAATAGATGTCGCTAGGTGCGCTTAAATGTGATTCATGTAAGTTAATTTCTTTACAATATCTATTGTACATCTGTCGCCAAGTGCGATTAAACGTGATTTTTCTGAGAGATAAACTTTTTTAATATATTATTGTCATGTTTGTGTACGATAGCGCAATAAATAAATATTGTTTCTACCACATACATGATAGTACTTTTATACTGATAATAATTAAAGCAATTCGTGCAAAATTATTCCCTAACCATTCCAAAATATCAAAAATGCACAAAATTAATATTCAAGTTTTCACTTCTGCCAGCACTCCCGGAGTGCAACCCGTCGTTTTTTTAGACAATAACATTTATTTTATTATTATTGATTCTTAATGGCACACATGGTTAATAAAACCCTTGTTAAATCGGCAGACCTAGCAACTCTGTTAGCAAATAAACTTAAGGTCCTCCTTATGGTTATCGGTCAGCATAACCTATATACAATAGGGATGATGACTATTTTTTTTTTCTTCGTTTATCAGGTAGATTATCAAAAAGTATTGGACACGTATTTTTTCTTTTTTCACATAATATAAACATTGCAGAGATATATTGATTTGAAAAGTCAAATGACGTCACGTTTGAGTACACTTATAAGAGAAAATTCACTCAAAAGTGACGTCACGAGCCCCTACTCCCAAACTTTGACGCGCTATAACTTTTTCATTTTTTGGTTGATTGCCCAAAGAAAAAATACGTGTCCATTATTTTTTGATCATCTAACTGACGGACTAAATAGAATTTCGTTTACTGTACCCCGCCATCACCCCTATTGCGATACCAGCGAGTATACCTTGCGCGTTGCCTTCTCATCTAACTCTTTCCTTTCCTTTATTAACATACTTCTCCCACCAATCACGATTGCATTTAGGATATATTGTTTTAAACTTTCATGGTTACTAACATTATAGCTATTAACGGGATTGTTACCATGTACCTTGTTTTTTATGAGTCTCCGATATTTCGGCACTGTTGCAAGCGCCATGATCACGGAGTAACTGAAGTATTTGCGGGTCCGCGATCTGATACTGTGAATGAATAGTGAGAATGTGACCAGTGGTAGGGGTATCGAGCGCAGTAAAAGACGACGTCAGAGGGTAGACCGATATGTGTGCCAATAACATCTACCCGCAATTACTTCAGTTACTCCGTAATCATGGCGCTTGCAACAGTGACAAAATTGCAACGAGACTCATAAAAGACAAGGTACATGGTAACAATCCCGTTAATAGCTTATAACGCATTTAGGATGATACTCTTTTACTTAAACTCGTGCTGTCAAGGCTCTTTGAGATCAATCTTTTTAATTAAGACATAATACTATAGCGAGTTCTCATTCCCATTGTCACTATCAAGATGTCCAGAAGGTTTTCTGGATATAATTTTAAGCAGTTCTTTTCGATCTCTGTGATTATTGCTGAACCAAATAACCATTATCTTCAACCACCTTTATCCCACTGTACCTCAACGGCTCCATCATCATTATCATCATCAGCATATTAATGTCCCAACTGCAGGAGCATAGATCGTTTCATATGGATTGAATAAATAAATATTTTCAACACTCACACCAATTAGCCTAGCCCCATATACAGTACGTATATAAGTATATTTATATATAAGTACATATTAAACATCCATAACTGGAGTACAAATGCTCGTATTCATCACACAAACATCTGCCCCCACCGGGATTCGAACCCGGAACCTCTCGAGTCGGTGACACAATGAAACCCGGCGTACAAACCACTCGACCACGGAGGTCGTCAGAATAGGAAAACTGAGCCATGACCCACCACTCGTGCCCAGTACGGATTGGGTGCTAATGACTGCAGATACAGCTGGGCCAACGCTTAAAGTGCCTTCCAAAGCACAGAGGAGCTCGAGATACTAAGTTTTTGGTCACCCATCCAATGACTGACCATTGCGAAAGTATGTTAACTTTCACGATCAGGCCGAATCGCTAACCACCTGCGCCATCATGCTCCTCCTCTGCAAATGTCTCCATAATAGTACCTAATTGTATATTTGTATCACCATCTTTGTCATTATTGCTTTACAGGCTAGACACAATAGCGCCGTACAGGAGACCAGATGGTTACACCATACCATCGTACAGAAACCCACAGCATTACCTCTCACCATACAGAATACCAGATACCCACTCACAATATTACAGAAGGTCTGACCACATACCTTCTTATAGTAGACCGGAAGACTACACCTTACCTAGAAGACTGGAGTATGCTCCTCCTTATAGAAGACCTGATGGTTCGTGGGTGGAAAGGCGTCGGTCTCAGGAATCCAGTCCAGGGATGAGTGACTTCAGTTATGTCACTTTCGACGCGCAAACTATAACTGTGCCTATCAGCGTGTGTGTCTTCATTATGGTGGGGTGAGCGAAATTTTCTTTTACTAATCTTTATGAACAAGTCTCATCAGTGGTCTTTTTGTGTAGTTATTCCTAACAGGGAGTAATCCTTACTGAAGACCACATAGAAATAACAGTATCTCTTGGTGGTACTGTGTTTAGACCGCGTAAAGTTTAGGCACGGTAATATTATCTACACAGTATTGTGACTCGGCCCTGTCCTTGAAATAACTGCCTACGGCCGAGCGGGGCGTAAACACGCGGTAGGGCTGCCCGCCTACAGTATTTTAATTTCATCTACATAATTGAGTTTCTTTCTAGTTTTGTGATTGTAAATATTTTATTTCATATGCAAATAAAATGTTGTGTAGGAATTAGAAAGTGTTACATAAAATACTTGTTATTTTAGTTGTAATATTTAATAAAAAAAAATATATAGATTTGATACAGAAAAATATTTACGCCTCGACTGAGACGTACGAAAAGATTTATTATTATATTTTATAGTATAATAAATACGCATTCGTATAAAAAGTTTAATTATTGAAGAGTTCAAGCAACCAAAAACAGCACAATATCGACTATTGTTTTTTGCCATATTAAATTATGTAGGTATCTACTTATTTCAATCAAATATTCACAATATAAATCGCACGTTTAAGCACGGTTAACTGCTCAAAGAACAATTCACACCGTTCGGTCACGGTAATATTATCTATACAGTATTGTGACTCCGCCCTGTCCTTGAAAATAAATGCCTACACCGAGCGCTGCGTTGGCACGCGGTAGGGCCGCCAGCCTACAGTATTTTATGTAGTTTTGTTTTTAACGCGAGTGAAGGTAGATTACTCGTTTGTCTCTTTTTTCATCCTAACCACTTATTTATATATTATTCCAGATATTTTGCCCGATAGAAAAACCGAAATACCTAAATATTAGAAACAAATAACGTACTAGTAGATAGGTATATAAAAAATATTCTATAAAGGTAAGACACCTTTCCAATATTTCAGGTAATTTAAAAAATGATATCTCTGGGTGTGTTATTGAAGAGTTCAAGCAATCAAAAACAACAATTGTGCTGTTGTACGATATTGATCGTCGTTTGTTCTTTTCCATACTAAATTATGTAGGTATCTACTTAATAAAATCAAATATTTACAATACAAAACGCATGTTTAAGCACGGCTAACTGCATAAAAAACAATTCAAACCGTTCGGTCGTCGTTGCGGCGCGGCGGCGCATTCGCGACTGGATGCCCGCCAAGAGTGCCTCAAACTCGAGTTGCGTAGGTATGACTCGCTTTCCGACCGTTTGTATGAAGATAGAATACTGTATAGATAATATTACCGTGGTTTAGACATCAGTGCGAATGATCTACTATAATATCGCAAGCGTATGTAAGCCATGGCAGACGCATACCATTGGCCGGGTTATATGGTCGTTGTCAAACTATTATCGGCTTTGGGCAAAAATATAACTTGTAGACATAGCAGTTAATATTTTAGTAATATAAGTTATTTACGGGATTGTTACCATGTATACGTTGTTTTTAGCGAGTTTCCGATATTTCCGGTAACAATCCCGTAAATAACTTATATGGTACTATAATGTTGGTGACCATGAAAGTTTAAAACAATATACAGTTAATGGTGTCGATTCTGGCATGATTCTCTAAACTTAAAACTAAATTTAACATCTGTCCTTCATTTTCATTCTGTATAGAGAATAACAAGGATGCACTGTTGTCAAATTTAAGTTTATGCTTAGAGTATCATGCTAGAATCGACACCAATATTTGCCTAAATTCTGGCTTACCATATTTTTAAGCAACCTTTGTTCATCGATATAATGCTATTCCCAGAGCAGTATAAATTTGTATTTGAAATACTGTTACTAAGTATACTTAAATAGTCATAATTATGTAAATATCAAGTTCGTCAAAAAGTTCAATAGCAGTACCCTTAGCACGAACTAATATCGAATTCGAATAGTTTGCGAGTGCGAAATGTAATTGTACTATTCGAATTCGATATTGATTCGTGCGTGCTAAGAGTACAGTACCCCTAGCACGAACCAATATCGAATTCGTATCGTTTGCGAGTCCGAAATGTCATTGTCAAATGTGTACTGATTTTTAGTTCTCGTTACGTACTTTGTGCCGCTGCTGTTCAAGTTTCCATAGAAATCAGAAATCAATATATCTTTATACAAATTGGATGTATAGTAGTAAGTACAACTCTTTTGAATCGTCCAAAACTTTTTTTTCCCTACCACTCGTTATGGACATATTTTTTAGCTGCGGAGAAAAACGAGCGAAAAAAACTCCACAACATTAAAAGCCTAATGTAACAACATTTACAAATCATTATGTTGTTACAACGTCAATGCAATTATGATTTATTTAATATAGAACACCTGTTGGAATGATTGGAACAGTTCAAACCCAAGCATTTTTGTCTGTAATATAATCAGACACTTTGTAATAAGCTTTTTTAATAAGTGTTTTTTTTATAATATCTTTAAATTTATTTATGGCTAACTCTTGGATATTGCTTGGGACTTTATTGTATAAGCGAACACAAAGACCTTTAAATGAATTATTAATTTTGTGAAGCCTAGTAGCAGGTAAAGTTAGTTTATTTTTGTTTCTTGTATTAATTGTGTGAACATCACTGTTTTTAAGAAACAAATTAATATTTTTTCTTACAAGTAATAAATTTTCGTATATGTATTGTGATGCGACCGTCATTATTCCAAATTCTTTAAACTTATCTCTTAATGATTCTTTAACTTTAAGATTATAAATTGATCGAATAGCTCTCTTCTGCAGCACAAAAATAGTTTGAATGTCGGCGGCATTTCCCCACAATAAAATTCCGTACGACATAACACTATGGAAATAACTAAAGTATACTAATCTGGCCGTATCTACATCCGTTAACTGGCGTATCTTCATTACGGCATATGCTGCAGAGCTAAGTCTATTTGACAATTTATCAATATGTGGGCCCCATTGAAGCTTAGAATCTAAAGTTAAATTACATATCCCATACAAAATTTGACATTGACATTTAGGTTTGCAAACTATTCGAATTCAATAATGGTTCGTGTTAGGGGTACAGATGTTAGCCTGACAAAGATGATGCAATTTACAACCCTTTTCACATAAACTTAAAGCTGATTTATTTTGCGATATCATTATTATTTGATTTTTTTTCTAGTTACATAATATTCGGATCAATGATCTTCGGCATGTGGGAGAACTGGGATCAGCTCGACGGAGCGTACTTCTGCTTCATATCACTTACCAGGTTAGTAGTGCAATATGTGTACTAGATGGATTAAAACAAAAAGACAAGATACGGCACTCGTGGCTCAAAAGTGTACCGTTTAAATTATGGAGGTTATTTGACAGTATTAAAAATAAAGTGCCAATAGGGATGATGACTAATTATTTTTTCGTCGTTTATCAGGTAGATTATCAAAAAGTATTGGACACGTATTTTTTATATTGATTTGAAAAGTCGCATGACGTCACGTTTGAGTACACTTTTAAGTGAATATTCACTAAAAAGTGACGTCACGAGCCCCTACTCCCAAACTTTGACGCGCTATAACTTTGTCATTTTTTGGTTGATTGCCCAAAGAAAAAATATGTGTCCATTATTTTTTGATCATCTTACTGACGGACTAAATAGAATTTCGTTTACTGTACGCCGTCATCACCCCTATTGTTAGCATAGGCTAGTGTATAGAATGAATATTGGCAGGGTTTTTTACTATTTCAAAAAAAAATACTAAAAACCCACGAAAAAGATAATAGTTTTCTTATCTGTTGTCACGTGGCGCAAAACGCTTGGGATTGGCGGAGCCTAACATGACGTCACACGCAAGTAAAAGCCGGTAAAAGTAACATTACATTGTATCGTTTGACGTTTTAATAACAGTCGTGTGACGTCACACACTAGAAAGACGCCATATTGTCCAGAGAAACGTTTTCGCGGCAACTTGCAAATGGAGTTTTTGATTTGGTTATTTTTACTGAAATGCACAACAGAATGATGAATATCCACTTTTTGGACTCCATCAACATTAGTCAATAACGTGAGATCGTTTTCTAAAACTTGTCAAATACCCTATTCGCTTCAGTCACAATTTGACATCCAAATACGCTGCATTTGCAATCAATGTATCAATAATGTGTTTAATCTGTGTTGTAAAGACAAAATAATGCCTTCAAGGCTATTAAAATGAACACAAATAGTTCAAGATCAATTTTCATTCGTTAAACTATAAAACATTATTTTCTAAAAAATCCCGGTTCCTCATGAATGTTATTTACTGATTCGCCATTTGTTATTAAGAAAAGGACAACAATACAGCTCAGCCGTTTGTAGAGAAAGACGCAGACTCGCCGTTTGAATCTAAAGAAAAGTTTACTAGAAAAAATCCACGCGGACCAGGCAGCGGACGGGACTCGAACCCGCACTCTTCGCTATCTGGGTTAATGCACCGACCATTATGCTACCACGGCCCTATTCGCCGCGTCGAAATTTTCCTAGCCTTAAGCTGCAAGGCAGCGCCATCTCTTAAATCTCTCAAAGAAGAAATAGCAATTTAAACATCTAGCAGTTAAATGCTTAAAAATAAATAGAAACATAACTATAATCGCCATTTCTTCTTTCAAACGTTTAATACTTGAAAAAGTATTCATTTGACCTTGCGGGTTACCTACAATGCGAAGAGATGGCGCTGCCTTGCAGCTTAAGTCTAGGAAAATTTCGACGCGGCGAATAGGGCCGTGGTAGCATAACGGTCGGTGCATTCGCCCGGATTGCGAAGGATGCGGGTTCGAGTCCCGTCCGCTGCCCGATTGATTATTATTATTATTTTGTCAATATTGAACATATACATAATGATTGTCCCCAGTATCGGGTTCGGCGACTTCGTCCCCGGCGAGCGCGTGTACTCGGCGCGCATCGAGCCGTCGTTCATCGTGTGCTCGCTCTACCTCATGCTGGGGATGGCGCTCGTCGCCATGTGCTTCAACCTCATGCAGGTGACGCTCCCTCTATAATGGATCATCATCAGCCTATTAATGTCCCCACTGCTGGGGCACAGGCTTCCCTATGGATGGAATACGGAGATTGGGCCATGACCCACCACGCGGGCCCAGTGCGGGTTGGTGGGTGCTAACGACTGCAGATGCAGCCGGGACCAACGGCTTAACGTGCCTTCCGAAACACGGAGGAGCTCGAGATAGTAAATTATGGTCACCCATCCAATGACCGACCACTGCGAAAGTTGCTTAAATTCAACGATCGCTGCGGAACGCGCTAACCACTTGCGCCATCGAGCTCCTCATAATGGATAGCCTTACATTATTGGAACGAAGTTCCTCACGGCAGGCTCGGAGGGGATAGGTATTTTGCTGCGCGACCGAACTGAAAAAAATGTGATAGTAAAACCGTAAGAAAAAGTCGCTCAACGCGCCATGGAAAGGGCCATGCTCGGCGTTTCTCCGAAAGATCGCATCGGAAACGAGGTAATCCGACAGAGAACCAGAGTTATCGACATGGCCCACCGAATTAGCGAGTTGAAGTGGCAGTGGGCTGGCCATATTTGCCGAAGAACCGATAACCGTTGGGGTAGACGAGTTCTGGAGTGGAGACCGCGTCTAGGCAAACGTAGTGTAGGACGTCCTCAGGCGCGATGGAGTGACGATTTGCGCAAGGTGGATGGCAGGAGCTGGATGCGAGTAGCCCAAGATCGATCTGAGTGGCGTGCAATTGGAGAGGCCTATGTCCAGCGGTGGACTATGATAAGCTGTTGATGATGATGATTGATGAAGAAAAAATCCGTGGAAAAAGTGCTTGGAATAAAACCGTTAAATGAGACGTGCGCAGGTGCGATAGTCGCATACACAAGCGAGTTTGCAATTTGTGTCGATACTGCATTAGCCGAAGGAACTTCGTTCCTACCTGGTGTTTCCTACCTGGTGTCCCGCGACACCGCATCGTTTTTATTTATTTATCATCAACAAGTTTCAACAGCGTTTTACACAATATAATCTAATATAAAATTTTAAACGATACTTTAGCCAATTACGGAAACTCACTTTGTATTCAATTTAAAAATTAAAATGATTACATAGGGTAGAAATTGCAAATTAACAATAATATAAAAGAAATACCAACAAAGATTCAATTTAATTTTGCGATAAATATAAATACCTATATAAATCCAAATTATAAAAAGAGCATGATAACTAACTTTGTGTAAATGAGTTGTGATGTTAGATTCTCCTCCACTGCCCTCTTTTAAGCTCACTCAGAGCACCGGGGAAACAATGAAAGAAAACCAAAAAAAATAAGATAATGTTATAAGTATATTTTATCAACTTTAGATACCAAAGCAGATGAATTCAGTAGTTTTAAGTTATTGCTTATATAAATCACCAAGCCTATGTTTATTATTTATATAATAACTATGTTTCACTAATTATAAATATCTAAGCTGAATACAGTAGTTCAAAGTTAAAGTTTATATAAACCAACAAGTTGACAGGACACGTTTTAACTATGTTTTACTGACTAAATATCTAAGCTGAATACAGTAGTTTAAAGTTAAAGTTTATATAAATCAATAAGTTGTCATGAAATGTTATAATTATATGAATATCAGACATTCATAACACTCTACCATGTACTTACATGAGTTCTCAACTATATCTTATATATCTTATCCACTCTGCAATGGACTGACTGACCACATAGACTAGACTTAATAAGCTATTTAGTGGATTTCAGAGGTTCTACGGCTCGTTTGATCGATATTAGTGACAAACTTAGTTAATTCCAGTTCTCAGTGAGATAACCAGTTATATAGATATATGTATATATATGGAAATGGGTAGGTCGGGGTCCAACCTCGCCTTGTGGTTCTTCTCCACGCTCACCCGGGGTTAGTAATGAAAATACCTTGTTTAGGATAGGTTTAGCAGTGTATGATCTGTCCGCTGTTACGGCCGGATTACATAAAACCAGAGAGCGGCTGGTAAATAAACTCCCGCGTCCCTTCTGGTCCGTGTACAGAGAAAGAGTCTCCTTGTTATTCCTCCAGTATTTCTTGAGGGGAACGTACAAGCCTGAAGTTCACATTAAAAAAAATGATCAGATATGGGGAAAATACATAGATTACCACATCTGCATCACTGGCGGGTAGGGTAGAGTGAGGGATATTCACGGTCAATGTTTACACTTTAAAATTTGAATCACTACATGACTGGGGCCCGTCCCACCGGGTTGAAGGAAATCAATTTCATGTTCACTAACTTGACAAGAATGATTAGGTATATTTGATGACAATAATCACTATATTGTGCATAATGCAGTTCAATTAGTGCTAGGAGAATAAATATGAGGTCAGATGATAGCTTACCGTTCGAAATATGAAACTATCCGTAAGTATTTTGTACTCTCTTTTCTATCACAAGTTACTGCCTTATTGCAACGCCTTGCGAAGGTTCGTGTTCGTCCACCTACGATACAGAATATCAACAGAAAGGTTATTTTTCAGAGCCACAACTTGCAAAATAAGTAGGAAAAAGAGTTACTCCAATATACCTGCGAAACTCAGTTCGGTTAGCGACTCCGCGCTATTTCCGCCAATATCCTTCAGGATATAAACTTTTCGGATCTATTTCACGACTCCGACGACTATAATATGCCTTATAATATACTTTGGGCAGAAGAAACGATGAAAAGATAACTGTACCACAAACAGATTGTGAAATTTTAAATGTTGTTTTGACAATTGCTCATAGATGATAGACGGGTCGTCTACTCCCAAATATGTGTCTATGATTTGTCTCTCTCTCCAACCGAAGGCAAAGGCCACAGTCAAACAGACAGCCGCCGCATTCGAGACGAACCGAAGAATAAACTCAAAACTATATACCTACGCTCGCCGTAAGCTGAGGAAAAGGGAATACCTACCCAAATCAGCAAGGAAATTCAATTTCGAGTAAAATTCAAAATCGATTAAAAACAGCGCCCGATAAGGAGGACTCAAATCGATATGGGAAAAACTATTCAAAATTCAACAACTGTCAAACTCCATCCATTCATCCACGCGCCTCCACAGAGATTCACTGCCTGATTACTTTTTTTTTTTTTTATAAGTCTCAAGGCGAATATTTTAGTCGAATAGAAAAATCGACTTTTCCCTCAATGCTACCAACCCAATCAATGAAGTTTGACAGCTACGCCGACGTAAGCGGTTCGCTATCATAGACAAAACAGCTGTCCTACGTGTGTCAGTGTCACGCCCTGTTTAAAAACAAACACTACACGTACGTGTACGTGTGTGTTTGATGTAGCGTGTGTGTGGGTGTGTGTGTGTGAGTGTGCATTAAAACAAAAAGGGAAGATACGGTACGCTCATACTAGCATCGAATAAAATATGCTCCGACTCAACTACATAAGCAACTCTCACACACGCACACTTCTGTAAATTAATAATCATTCAATCGAGCGAGCGAGACAGAACTGTACGTTTCATCGCAGCGCAAGCGAAACGGCGAGTCCGAATCGCTTGGCAACCGACTGCGTTTTGTTTCATCTCTCTAAAAACGGCTGAACTGTATGGATGTATTGTTGTCCTTTTCTTGATAACAAATTGCGAATAAGTAAATAACATTCATGACAAACTGTGATTTTTGAGAAAAAATGTTTTAATTTCGACGCGGCCATGTGGGCCGTGGTAGCATAATTGGTCAGTGCATTCGCCCGGATTGCGAAGGGTGCGGGTTCGAGTCCTGTCCGCTGCCTGGTCAGCGTTGAATTTTTTTTCTAGTAAAACCTTTCTTTAGATTTAAACATCTAGCAGTCAAATGCTTAAAAATAAATAAAAACATAAATGTTTTTATATTTATACGAATGAAAAGAGTTGCCGTGGAAGTTGTTATTAAAATTTGATATTGAATTGAACTATTTGTGTTGTTAGAAAAGCATTGAAGGCATTGTTTTATCTTAATAACATAGACCGCAGAAGGTTTTCAAAAGCCTCGCGCTCTTAATTTTCGTTGGTATTAACATTATCAAAGAAAATGAGCGTAACGTATTTGAAATCCTTCGGCGAGACAGGCGTAGACAATAGCGATAGCTATAGCAATCCGGTTACGCGATTGTCCCCCAGGCCGATATATTTTTAATTATGAGTCTGCTTTTTAATTTCAGGAGCAAGTGATCTATTACGTTGCTGGACTGAGACGTGCCCTGAAACGTATTTGCCGATGTTGCAAAAGATGACAATAATTATAAGCAGAAGAATTTATGCGGTTGTGTTCAAATATATCCCTAATATACCTAGTTGTTGAGTTTCAATCGATATTCTACATACCATGACCCAATCTATATATGTATATAAAACTCAAAGGTGACTGACTGACATAGTGATCTATCAACGCACAGCCCAAACCACTGGACGGATCGGGCTGAAATTTGGCATGCATGTAGATGTTATCCGCTAAGAAAGGATTTTGATCAATTCTACCCCCAAGGGGATAAAATAGGGAATGAAAGTTTGTATGAAACTTTGTTAATTTTAAACCGATCGGGCTAAGACTTTGCATGCAGGTTTAAGAAGAAGAATCATAGATGAATGTCATTGTGTATAATCCATGCCTGAGAACAAAAACTGTAGTCTACACTTCAGCTCTACACCGAAGCGAAGCGAGGGCGGGCCGGTAGTATATTATATGATTGGTCTTGAATTCATGATTGTTCTTACTTTAATAAAACAAGTTTTTAACGGGTTATATGCGCTGAATTTATTTATTTATTGACGTTTCGCATCCTTTGCAGGAATGCGTCGTCAGAATAATGTTTTCTTATTGACTTTGTCAAGCTACCTTCGAAAGACTTTTATTGAGCGTTCGGATATATATTTTTATAATAGGATATTTGACAAGTTTTAGAAAACGATCTCACGTTATTGGCTAATGTTTATGGAGTCCGTAAAAAGTGGATATTCATCATTCTGTTGTGTATTCCAGTAAAAATAACCAAATCAAAAACTCCATTTTCAAGTTGCCGCGAAAACGTTTCTCTGGACAATATGGCGTTTTACTAGTGGGTGACGTCACACGAATGTTATAAAAATGTCAAACGATACAATGTAATGTCACTTTAACTGGACGTTTACTTGCGTGTGACGTCATTTTAGGCTCCGCCAATCCCAAGCGTTTTGGATAACGTGACAATAGATAAGAAAACTATTATCTTTTTCGTTAGTTTTTAATAAAATCATGAATATTTTTTTATTTGTAATAGTAAAAACTCCTGCCAATATTCATTCTAAACACAGATGCTAACAATTGGTACTTTATTTTTAATACTGTCAAATACCCTATTCCAAACTCTGCTCTTCTATAATCTAAATAGCTTTTTACTCGCCTCTTGTAAGATCTTGGCGCTCCCGCTTACTAATTTAAAATAAAACGCCACAAGGATGTTTTAATTAAAATTCATATTGTTTTATTCTTTACGATATAAATTTAGGCAAAATGCAAAAGCGATTATGTACTGTCCACCACATATTTCACGTTGCAGAAGCACACTTGACATACTCGTAACTACATATCAGTTAGTAGTTTTTCATTACGAAGTCTTTGTTCCTTTTTCTTCTGTTTCATAATACTTTCTTCAATATCTTCTAGTTGGGCTTCTAGCAGAGTGGTTAAGTTTTTGTTAACTTCGTGTAGAGTTAATTTTACTATGTGCTTGATAGAGTTATCCAGCGACGCGGGGCAAAGTAAACGAAATCCTATTTAGTTCGTCAGTTAGATTGTCAAAATTAATGGACACTTATTTTTTCTTGTGTCGATCATCCAAAAAATGACAAAGATGAAGCACCTCTAAGTTTATCAAAAAAAAAATTAGGAAGACGTAACGTCATGCGGTATTTTAAATTTCAAATTAATAAAGATATCTCCGTAATGTTTTGATTATGTAAAAAAGAAAAAAAAGATGTCCTATACCTTTTGATAATCTACCTCGGAGCCAATCGCCTAACGGGATTACTTTTTTTGTTATTAAAGAAAATGATCGTGAGGTATTTGAGAACATTACAAAATGATATCGTAAGCAATAGCGTTAGCCAAAGCAATCCCGTTAGGCAATTGGTCCCCTATCATACGGCTGGCGGTATGGCCAATCCTCATCATCATATCAGCCAAGAAACGCCCACTGCTGCTGGCTTCCCCGGAGGAATTACAAACCTATCAGTTCTGCGCTGCCCGCATCCAGCGGCTTCTACGGTCTTCACCAGATCGTCAGTCCATTTTGTGGGGGGTCTACCAACGCTGCATCTCCCGGTACGCGGCCGCCACTCGAGGATCTTTCTTCCCCAACGGCCGTCAGTTCAAGGGCGGATCCAGAGGGGGGGTCATGGGGGTCATGACCCCCCCCCCCTTGGCTGGGTCCATCTGTACCCACTTCACAATCTGTACCCACTATATACCCCCCTGGCGCCAAAGCTGGATCCGCCCTTGCGTCAGTTCTCCTTGCAATGTGCCCACTGCGACTTAAGGCTTGCAATTCTTTGAGATCTGGCCGTGACCTTAATTCTCCTGCGAATCTCATCATTTCTGATTCAATAGCGCAGAGAAACTTGCCACCTTTGGGTGGCTTTGAGCTCTCTTATGAGGTCCATTGTTAGCGGCCACGTCTCGGTTCCATACGTCATCACTGGCAAAACAAACGTATTAAAGACTTTCGTCTTAAGACACTGCGGTAGATGGGCTGAGAATATGCTGCGTAGCTTCCTTTCCCAACCGAATTGGATTCGTCGACTGACCTCTTTCTTGTAGTTGGACATACCATGTTGGTCTATTTGTCCAAGGTAAACATACTTCAATGATTCTTGATTCTATGAAAGGTAAACATTGAATCAAGACGGATACCAAACTAAAAAGTGTCGGATGCTGGACAGCGTCCTTTGGTTTCGTTTCCATCTGGAAAGGAGATAAAAACGACACGGGAACGAGAATAAAACTACATATTTTTTTACTACTATAATACTACAAGTTTTTCTAGACAAAAAGGCCTATGTGTGATTTTAGATAGTACACAAATTACACGTGAACTATTAGAGACAAGAAAAACGTGTCATTTCATTCGTATACAGTTTTTAAGAAATTCAAGTCTTATTTCAAAATGTAGCTCAACTTCTAAATAAATTCACGAAAACCCCTTAAAAGATCCCTCGCGGTTACCGAAGGTGCTGCAATTTTACCTACATCACTCTTTTTCTAATGGCCTCTATGTGAAAAACAGACAGACCATTATTAATATTTATTCCACCCTAGAAAATACGTCGACACCGATGATCAACGACGTGCGGTAAAACAACCATTCTGTAAGTAGCAATTAAAGCTTATAATCGCATGCAGATTTCACTCTTTATAACCGTGTCGGCTTCGCGCGTACCCCGCTATTATAATTCGCATTATAAACTTTAATGGCTCTATAAATACTCTTTAATTTCTTTTGCCGCATTGCAAATATTTCCTCCGACTTCCGACTGACGCGTGCCTGTTGGCGGAAATGGATTTTTTTATTTACTTTCCTAACTAAGCGTTGAATTAAATTTAGAGTAACTTCAAGAGCAATGTTGCTAGGTCCGATTTTTAAAAATCGAGAGGCATTATAGAAAATAGTAGTAGATGTATGGAAAGAGCTACAAGTAAAGTCTGTCAAACTGTAAAGTCTACAGGAATTCCATCAAGAGAATTCAAAAGAGGACAGTTACTATAGCCCTTATCTACTTAAATAAATACCATCGTTTACCGCTATCTCACCGTGTTGAATAAAAAAACACAAATGAAGTAGTTAAGTAATTAGTGAGAAGCGGTGCATTTTTTGAATAATTACGAGGCATTAATAACCAAGCCGCTATCAGGCGAAACAAAATTTATCAAGCTTTGAGAAAGTCTTATCTTCGGCAATAAATAGAGAGGAAGGCCAAGATTTATAACGTAATGAATCACTTTTGCCCACAACTTAATGTTTTGCGCTTAAAATTCAGTGGGCTCTCAGACCAAATAAAAAGTAAAGACGGAGTCTCCCGAACCAAAAAGTGAAGCCGGTTTTTTATGTATGTAGTGCATTAGCCAGTGTTACCATAGTCATATAAAACACCCCAATATTAGAAAAATGTAATAACGTTATTTCATAACGTTATAAAATATTAGAAAGAAATATCGTAAGCTTATTCTCTAAACCTCTCGTGAGCCAAAGGTCATGCGCCGTTCTCACCTACAAGTGCCGGACTTCTTTATGGACCGCTCGCCCGCTGGGTGGGAACGATTGCATTGTTCTGCCGATTTCTCTGTTATTTTGTAAAAATACCCTTCACAAACGTATATTTGGATTCTCCATAAAATTTTCAATAAAACAGTGTGTACACCATTGTGACGCATTCGTCATGTCTATAATTTATAGTACACTAATTTAATTTATTTTAATTACATTATGGTAAACTCAGGAAAGATAAAAAAGTCGTTTAAATAGGTAAAATGAGGTATATTTACAAAATTTGTAAATTATAAATCCAGGTTTTTGTACATATAGAATGTACTATATATAAATGAATGTATATTATAACTTACCAAATGCAATTATAAAATATAACACGCAACAGAAAAAAAGGGTCGTGTTTCAAGTGTTGATAAAAACAAATGCGAGATCCAAGTGCCTTGATTTATGTGTTGACGTTTAATTATGTTGGATTGTTTATTTTACTTTAGTTACAAGTCTCGGATGGAATAGGTTTGTTCATTTTATAGTTTCAAGCACTCGCAACAAGGCACTTGAAATCACTTACAAATCAGTCATCTCAACTTTATGTCGATAAAACGAAAAGCATATATGTACAAATGTTGATAAACAGTTTCTTTTATTAAAATGTACATGAAATTTTCTATAGAATACAACAAATATAATCACTAGTTCCTATACAAGAACATAATAAAATAAATCCACAAACATCGCGAATTTTGGGTCAAAAAGGCCATTAAAAAGTAGATGCATCTTAAAACGGTGTGCACATTAGATGAGGCATTTTTCTAGTGTGCACAGTTGCGGTCAAGGTTGAGTTTAAAATTAGCTAAGTACCAAATTAACATTATTTTTACTATTGTACCTAATACTTTTATTGAACAATGATACTTAATTCAAGTAAGTTCACTTTAATTTAGTAGCATAATACGGCAAAATGGGGACACGGAAGCAAGTAGTTCTACCACAACATGATGAACTTGTACAAACAATAAGCAGTTAGCAAATAAATTATTGGAATCTTTAAAATA